CAAGCCCGTTTTTACTACATCTCTAATTAATAATCAACTTACTGTGTACATAACCCGAAGAGATTCCGTTCCGCCTGTGTCAATCTTTCCGGGATCGCGCGTTTGTATTTTTTTTACGTTTTATTTTGTATTACCGACGAGAAGTGAGATACGTCAGCTTGGTGATCGCAAGTGACAAGAAAAAGGAAAACAACACCAACAAGAACAACACCGGCAACACAATCCAGTGACTTCCCTTCCCGTCCCACTGAGCGGGTGAGTAGCGTATACTGCCCTACATCCTCGAGGGGAGAGCAGGCCACGCCGGTTCCACCGCGACCATATGTTCGCCCCCGCGGTCGCGCCCGGGGCTGCCCGCCGTGCGCGCGTCCTGGAGGAGGCGGTGCTGGCCGCCGTGCCGGTGGCCCCGGGGGCGCGCGACCAGCCCCGCGGCCTCCTCGGGCCCCTCGGTGACCCAGTAATGCCGGCTGCTGGCGGTGCTGGCGGGCCCTCCTGCTCCTGCAGCACCCTCCTGCCCACCGCCCCGGCGAGGCGAGCCAGAGATCGATGTGCCGTTCAGCTGTACCGGGAGCACCGCACCCCTCCCGGCCAGGCCGGCCTCAGGGGATTCGCACCCGCGCTCACAAGTTTGGCATTTTATCGTTAGTGTCTCGTGTGTTTTTGTTGTGGCCGTCCGTCCCTCCGGACTTAGACCATACCACTCGGGATTCACTGCCGGCTCTGCGCGCGCAGGGCGACCTGACCGCCGCCGCCTTGAACCTTGGCATCCATAACCATTATGCAGAGCAGCCGGCTTGTCTTTACTTCCTCCCTTCCTCACGACATGTCCTCGCCTTCCTCCTTCCGATGATTCCTATACTTCCCCCTCTTTTGTTGCTATCCCGCTAGCATGTGTGATCGCCGGCGCTACCGCTGGGCGGCTCTCACGGCGAGCTCGCTGCTACCGCTGCTACCGCTGCTACCGCTGCTACCAGCAGCTACTCGCCAGCAGTCCTCCTGTGTAAACAATGGTGTGTGTTAGTGTGAGCGGCGCGTCATAAACTTGCTACGTTTACTCCCCCCCCCCCCCCCACTTCCCACTCGTGGGTCTCGCACCATTCAACGTGCGTTTGCTGATAAATTCATGAACGTCATTTGCGTCGCCCGGCCGTACAGTCTTACAAATAGTTGTTTTTTTCAGAGAGTTGACATGATTTGTTTGTGGACTAGAGGTGATGGGAGTGAATACATACGCGCGAGCGTGTCTGTATGCGTGTGTGCATGTGTGCCTGAGTGTGAGTGTTGTCGAGAGACGGGTTGGGGAGGGGGGGTTAGACTCCATATGGAAAGGCATGCTGGCAGGCAGTGCGCGAGTGCGACAACTCTCAATGAGCCGCTAGGTCAAGCGACAATTTAGCCCTCAGCTGGGGTCGCTCGCTACGCCCCGCCACGCCCTGGGACCGCCGCCTCCCGACCCGAAGCCGCGCCACGCCACGCCCTGCCACGCCCAGCCCCTGGAGTCCTCCGCTATCTCGCTCCCCTCAGCCTTTGCCCCTTTCGCCACCGCCGCCCCACCAGGCCCAGTAACGATCCATTCTGCACCTGAATTATTACCGTAGGCCCCCCGTGCGTGTTTCAAGACTTTGATTTTCCAGTCTCCAGTCAGTCGTGTCGCGTCGCGCTGGTTGGCAGTGTAGCCGTGTCCTCCAGACAGTACGTCGCCATGGGTATCAGGTGCACATGCTTTGCACGCTGTAAGCCCCGGACGAGCGAGCGAGCGGTGCCGCGGCGCACTCCTCGAGTTACGTGTAGTTGTGTTTTGTTTGTTTTTTTCAATTTTTTCCCGTAGATGGGTGTCACTTATGCCTTTTTGGGTCAGCTGATTCGTTTGCCTACGTCGACTTAAAAGACAGCATTTCCGTGACGCCGTGTGAAAAACCACAGTGTGCTCTGCTGCTGCCGAAAGTCAAGCGACACGCGCTGATAAGAGACACGAGAAAATTACTGCTGTACCCTCTCTTTTTTGTCTTATTATTTTTGCTGTCATCGACTCCTTCCCAATTCGATAGTGCTCGGCCGTATTCCGCCTGGTGATAGCGTGCTGACATATCGACAATATTGAGCGATAAATGAAAGAAAAAATTCTTTGGTAGGTCAAACGATTATTCTCCCTATCCTTTTTACTCGCGTAATCAGATCACTGTTCCTTTTTATTTTTCCAATTTTTCCCCTGCTTGCGGCCATCTCTCTCGGCCGCTTCTCAATTTTGTGAGTCGCGCGATCGGAAGGACCATCTTTAAGCTTCGAGAAATAGGCGGGGACGGGAGTCGAACCTGCGGCGCCGCACGCCGCCCCGCCAGGCCCACTGACCCACTAGAAAGAGACGGAGAGAGGCGAGATCGATCCGCGGCGCTCTGACCCGCAAAGGATGCGGCGGAAAACGGAGTACTATCGTCTTCCGCCATTTAAAAATTGAAATACCAGCATTCCCAAGCGTCTCTATCTCCCACCCTCTCTCCCTTCTCCTCTCCCACTCTCCCGCTCTGCCCGGGCCCCCTCCCCAACTGCACCGGGTGCTCAGTTTCCCTCGGGTCCAAAAGCGCGGCCGGCTCCTCTCCGCCGTCGGCTCCAGCAGGGCGTTTTGCGTAGGCAGACCCGGCGCGCTCCGGGCCGCCCGCGTTGCCTACCCCGCCGGGCTGACAGGCGCGGGGGTAGGCACGCCCGCCGCGCACCGCCGCCTCCGGGTTGCCTATCCCCGACTTGCAAGGCGCTCGGGAAGGGGTGGTGGGGCGCGGCGCACGGAGCGTGGGCGGGTGGGGTCGGAATGGGGCCTGGCTGCTGGTGCTGGTATGATGAGGTCAGGGAGTTACCCCCCCCCTCTCTCTCTCTCTCTCTCTCTCTCTCTCTCTCTCTCTCTCTCTCTCTCTCTCTCCCTCCCTCCCGGTGCGCAGGGGGTGGCGGGGCGTTGCCTCACACCTTGCTGATTGATTTGTAGCTGTACAGTGCGGCCGCGACTGCTCTGCTGCGCCCGGGCGCGCGGCGGCCGTGCTGTACACCTGCAGGAGGGAATGGGGAGGGGGGGGGGGCTGCTCAGCTGACTGTGCGCGCGGCTGTTATGTCCCCGGCTGTTACGTCGCCTCGGCTCGACGTCCACGAGGTGGCACGAAGCGGCACGAAGTGGCACGAAGCGGTACGAGAAGTGGCACGAGGTGCTCTGATAAACCCGCGCGGCCCTGGTCCACTCCCGCTGGCTGTGCTGGGCCATACCGCGCATGCCGCGCAAATAAATTCAGCCAAAACAAAATGATAACTTTTCTAGGTCATAGTCTTGGTGAGATCGTGTTCTCCTTTTTCTGCCTACATAAAAATCATGTACCAGAGCAATAATATGTCTCCTTTTTAGGGGTGAAACTCGCTTTATATTATTTTTTCACCGTGGGGGTTACATAATGGAGGACCCAGTTTGCTCCACATATTTCGTAGTTTCTATGTTGATAAACACGGTTTGGCGTGCTGCATAAGCTGGATATCGATCACGTGAGAGATTAAGCAGCGCTATGGGTCATGGTGATGCTTCCATGACGATAGGCAGCCTGTCATTTCCCCCACACACATACAATCGCGAGCGGTATCCAATGTCACACTGAAGATTTTTCTTGGTTTGCTAACTATGAGCGACTATGAGCTTCCTTTTTGACTATCAATTATGCTTTTTTCTGATCAGTATTCCTGTTTTATGTAGAGGCTCCAACCGTACTATGATGACTTGATATTTTACTGTCGTTATCGTATCATCGTTTCGTTATCGCTTGTCGTGTGACAAGTCCAGGACTTATCTGATAATCGGCGTGGCCGCCGCGCCGAAACCGCGCGCTCGGCTCTTAACCTTGGAATGTCAACCCCGCTCTGCGCGGCGGTGCCTCCACTGGCGCCACTTGTACAAAAGGAAAAACAAAGGAAAACGTTATTATACGAGGAAAACGTTAGTAAAATGCTTGAAAATTTTCCAGAATACCAAAGAATTCCTAGCTCAACACGCATAGTAGCTACTAGGCAACTCTTACAATGAGCATGCCCGCGTTTCGTACTGCCAAAACCACTCCAGTCTGCACACAATAGTCAGCAGGTTTAGACTGGAAAAATGAAAAACCTAAACACGTAAAAAGGCGCATGAAGCCACGTTCTTTATAAGCGACGGTGTTGGGGTGTCGGCCCCCATCTCCTTGTCTCTTTTCACAGCATTATCCTGCGTTGCTGTTTTGGGAGCGCGGGCGCTTGCAATCTGGATGCCATGGTCATCACGATGTTGAGCACTTAGAGGGAGGGAGGGA